GGTTTATACTAGACTGCTCAACTGCAAAGTTGTCAAAGTTTGTTGCATTCCCATCAATGTTGAGGAATAAAGTGGACATATATTCGACTGAATTTCCAGGCAGGGTGGTGGCATTCAACTCTGTTATGGAGAATGTTTTGCAGTTTTCAAGAATTTTTGAGCTGTTGTAGATAGATTCAATATAATTAACTGGCTCATCATCAATAAGGCCGTTGTTAGCAAAGTGGGGAGCTTGGTAGAAAGGGTTGTATCGAATAATATCGTTGGCTTCAATACAGACTTTGCAGTATATTTCATCTCGAAATTTGACTATGTTGTCATTAGTTTTGCATTTTTTGTGCATTATTTTGTCACACATCTGACAAATTATGAAAGGGTGTCCAGCTCGTACAGGTTTATTGCAGCAGCAGCAAATTTCGCATATCAATTTAACTATCATGACTGAAGTATAGATCTACGTGGTCGTGGGGAAAATCTGCCTCTAGCTTTGGCATTAACAACATCACTGAATGATCTCCCGTCAACAGGGCTACCAAATATCTTGTGAGCAAAAGCCCGGGAGAGTTTGAATATACCGTTTGATCCAAGGTGAATTGGGTCATCCGGCTTCTTATATCTACAAAACTGCTGATTCAGCAGACCATCTTCGTCAACAAAGCTATTAAAATCTAATGTACCTATTCTAGAATTGGTATCACAGTATCCAAATAAAAACCTGTTAAACTCCATAGCCCTTTCGTTCAGCAAGGAGGACCTAGTTGGCAGTATAGGTGAAACAATTATTTTAGCGTAAGGGCACAATTCACTTATAGTCTTGAGCTTTTTGTTCAGCTCATTTGCCCAATATTTAACATTCCCCCCATCATTCTTGATGTTGTTTACTCCACAATGAACTATAATGTTTTTATAACCTACACAAAGGGTAGGATCTAGCTTATCTATGGTGAAGCATTCTATTCTTCTTCCAGGCAAGCGGTGTCCAAATGTTCCTTTTCCAGACCCAAATCGGAGGTACCGGGTATTGGAGTCACCAATAATCAGTGTCGCATTGGTGCTACTGCTTATGTATCGGAAGGTGATACTATATCGTAGGTGTCTCTTTTCCGTGCTTTTGTCAATTCTGTGGTCCCAGTGAAACTGAGACTGTTTGCTCATAACATAGAGACTGCATCCCTCTACTGTCTCTACAATCTCCCCTTCAAGATCACTTTTTTTTGTGAACTTGACAGAGCATTCTCCTCCTAAGGATACTGTAAAGATGGAACTATCATGGACCAGTGACTGTTCGTTATCAGAGTGCTTAGGAAGGAAGCTGTTCTCGTCGGTGTATCGGTTTATCAGGCACTGGTTAGTCACTGATCCTGGGTGCTGATCTTTTATTTTAGAGGCTAGCTCAGCAAGAACCTCAGGGAGTTCTGTTGATTTGGGCTTTGCAGCTTTAGCTCCAGGGTAGTCGTACGGTTCGCCAAAGCTCAGAACGTCATGGCCATTCTCTGAGTTGCCATCAAAGGCTTCCTTCTGTTGATTAAGGAAAACCAGCAGCTTAGTGTTTAAGTCTGTGTCTATGAAGTCCGGGACATACGACACAATGTGCTTGGACTTGGAATCCTCTGCACTTGCATGCTTCTGCGCATCCAGAAGGAGCTGTTCATTGACTGTCTCAGATGCTGCTGGTGACCCTATGTTAAAAGGTGGCATGGGAAGGTCAGGAGTGGACACATTTGATGATCTACTGTTTTTAAAACAGTTGATGTCTAGTTTTAGTTCAGCGAGCTTTGTGTTGATGGAGTCGAGAGTCCTAAGATGGCTATCATTGTCTTTCAAGTTTTTAATGGACGTCTGAATGGCTTCTAAGGACTTGTGTATGGAGCTTTCGTCTGAGGTAGTATGACCCATTAGAATGCTGGAGGGAGCTGACAAGTAGGAAGGGGACTTAGCATCGTCACATTTCTTGCCACTCACTACAGCACAAACATTTTCAGCAAGCCCAAGCAAGGATAGGAGACCCTCTGCAAGGGTGATTTTTTTAAGAGAAGAACAACCCTTAACCATGGATGGTGTAATGATTGCAAATTTGTTGATATCAATTTTGAGAATGCTACAAATGTTTAGCTTGATTATGTCTATCTCTGAGCGTAGGCTCTGCGAATGGGTCAACAGAAAGTTGTCGAGGGGGGCAGACCCATTTGAGAAGAAACTTAGAAGGCTACTACAATTTTTATGTTCTTCTGATTCGTGGTATTCTGAAAGAATTATTTTTTCAACGTCCTTCAGTACTTCGTCAATATCTCCAATGACGGTAGGAGTGTTGGATGTAGTCTGGTCCGGAACCGTGGTAGAAGAAGTCTGGTCCGGAACAGATTGAAGAGTCTCACCATTTTCTGGGTGAGTGGGGGTTTCCATCATGGTGAAGAGGCAATGGGGGTACCAGGCAGACCAGGGGGCACCTTCACGTCCAACTAGCACACTCACTGAAAAGAAGGAAGAGCAGAAAGCAGTTTGAAATGTTCTGTTGTGGAAAACAATGAAAGTGTAAACTGGATTAGTCAAAATGATTCAAAAGATTGATTGAAAAATTGAACAGACTGACGGACTACGACACATGGGACAAGAGAGTGGGTGAGTATGAAAAATATGAGGTGGTTGGACTGGCAAGCCCTATCATTTAATCAGAATACATTATATATATAATCCATAAGCCATATATGTCAGCCTGTTCTTGGAGCACAGCCCCAAAAGTTATCAGAAGTGATGTTCAAGTTTTAAGTCCAAAATTCTTTCAACACTATCTACACATTAATCAGGGTTGTCCAATTGTCCAATTGTGGATTGTGGTGTGAATGGAGTTATACATTGCCAAACAGAAACATCATTCACTACAACTACCTAACTTCTTAACAGGTTAAGAGTGCCAGTCTTCTGTTTCAGCAACCCCTGGACCATCATAGTACCCCCGATGCAGTTGACTTTAGCAAGCCATGGACATATTGGACATCCTCAAATTACTTGTTATATAGTAGTGTTGAAAGTATTAAAACTCAAGAATCAAGAAAAGCACCTATCCACGAACCCCGATGGGAAGGTTCGTGCGCGCGCGTGCAGTGCTGACAACAGCGTCTATGTAGCGAAGGAAGTCTTGGCACTTCTCCCTCCAGTATGCAGTAACCACTTTTCAAGTTTCTATAATGCACAGTGACCGTGTATAGGGGTTAATTAGGTATAAACTACAGTACAGCTGTACTTACACCTACATTCACAAGCATGCAAGCTCACCTGGTCCAATGAGCGGGAAACGGAGGACAAGGTCTGGTGTCGTCATAGTCACGTGACCTCATAGGCTCATAATTAGGTGACCTCAGACCCGATCAATGATCAATTAGGTTTGGGCATGGTCAGCCCCCTGTCATCCGATCTTTAGGTGACGTACGACACCTCGTTTACACAATCAATGTCTAAAAGACTACACACGTTGCATATGAGGACAAAAGCGCGGGAAATTTTGGCACCACTGTACAGTGGTGCCAAAATCGTTGGGTGGGTTCATGGCTAGAGCCCTTTTTACCGCTGTGAGGCGGGCGCGCGCTACTGCAAGCGCAAGGGCTCTGGATAGAGCAACTCTCGATTGCAGTATATAGCGCGCGACCGCCGAAATAAAAACAAGCGCGTCATGCAGTACGCGTATACACAATACAGTTACACTTGTATCACGTGGTGACCCCCACTGTCGCTTCACCCCACTGTCGCTTCACTATAGTGTATCGTCTTCGACGATACAGGGGGAGCCGCGCACTTCGTGCGCGGCGGGTCATACAACGTATGACAAAGTTACACATGGCTGTGTGAAAAATTAGCCCACCTACCCAGTCCCACTTTGCACTTGTAGTTGTAGGACTTTGCCAGGTAAATTTCGTTGTCATACGTTGTAGTCCTAATATATATAATATATAAGAAAGCAACCATGGAGAAAATGGACACACTCCATCGTAGACACCTCAGGTCCATTTTAAACATCAAATGGCCTAAAGGTATGATAAGCAACAAAGCATTGTATGAAAGGTGCAAAGTTGAAAAGTTATCCAAGCGCATTGAACACCAGCGGTGGAAAATGTTTGGACACATTCTCAGGAGTATGGAGAACACCCCAGCCCAAACGGCTCTCTCATTTGCTATTGAATCAGATAATTTATTCATTGGAAGATTGGGGAGACCTAAAATGAACTTGTTATCGGTTTTAAGAAGTGATTTAAATAGTAGAAGTTTGCAAATGGACAACTTGTATGAATTGAACGAAATTAAAGATATAGCTGCATGCAACAGATGTTGGGAAAATCTTTTTCAAGGGTACAGTTTACCGCATTAAGGTATTTTTAAGAATCATTTTTGTCGGTAAGATCCTGTTTTATAATAATAATAATAATACGTTGTATGACCCGCCGCGCACGAGTGCGCGGCTCCCCCTGTATCGTCGAAACTCTACAGTGAAGCGACAGTGGGGGTCACCACGTGATACACAAATTTCGTAGGTTTACAACCTACCAAGACGCTCGCCGAGTTGGAACAGATATTTTACGAGTATCACCCGTTAACGCAAATAAGCATTCTTGCTTCGCATCGACTGACTAGATCGTTGCTATGTTAATTTGCAGAGCAACGATCTGGAAGGGTTGACACCGTCAATCAACCTACCCACGTAATGTAAGTGTAACATTAAATATGTTGCATGATATGTGTCTACGCGTACTATACTATAGACTATATATATACTACTAGTACTACAAGCGCGAGATCAGAGAGCTGGGGTTAGAGCAACTAAATTAGGATAAACTGTCCATATTGGCGTGAACTTATTTAATTATTAGCATATAATAGTAACCTAATAATATCCCTCGAGCGCGCGCAGTGCTATAAGTATACTGGTTTAACAAGTACAAAGTATGTCACATATTTTTGGAGACGCTTCATTGTTCATGTTATGTTGTAAGACAGGAGACAACAGTTCTTATTGTAAGAAAAATTATTACAAATGCATTATACAAATAACATAGCCATGTAACTACAATATGTCACCTAGTCTAAAACTTAACTTAAATCGCTTCCTGAAAATAAAATAAATGCAAATTATGGAAACTGCGTAAATTTTCCTGAACAACAATGCATAATTGTACACTGCCATGCTGAACTTTAGCAGGTACGGTTCGGTTGCGTGGATCTAATCAATTTACTAGTGAAATTTGGAGCCGCGCAAGCGGACCGAACCTAGAACAAACCGAACAGTGTTATAATGATTAAAATTATACTTATATATCATCAGACTTGAGCGGAGGGTCTTATAGTGTATTATTGAAATGCGAATGTGAGATTAGAGAACTCTAACACAAGGCTATGACTCAGGAGTACAAATACAACATGAAACTGATTTCTCAATTCCAACCGGAACTTATTTGGACGACAGGCTGCCGTTCTAGGTCACTTTAGGAAAATGGACACTAAATTTTTGCTTTTATATCCCAAATCATTCAACTGATACAACTTGAAACTACCTCAAGTTTCTGAACCTCCTTCTTTCTTACCCCACGAAGTGGCCTCTACCACTGCTACTCACATGCTGCCGCGAACGTATTTGAACATCAATTGCAAATCGCAATTATGCTCACCATCTTAACAGTTGATTTATTCTTGGGGTTCTCAAAATTTTGATCACACGCATGAACAATAAATATGTTGAAAAGTGTCAGCATTCTAAGACCAGTTTTGAATTGAAACTCAAAAATTCGAAATGTAACATCATCCGTGCCTAACAGTTAACTCAGCAGAAAAAACGAGCATTTTCTGTACAATACTCGTTTTCAATAACTTGATTCTTGGCGAACTATAATATCGCAGGGTCGAATGTATCTCTCATTTCAGTTCAAGTCTATGAAAGTCCACTGACTCAGGATCCATATTTCGCTGCATTATTTTACCATTTTTATAGACGATCTTTTCCTTCTTCCTCTTGTCTACATGCTTGGTGGGTGGGGAAACTAATTGATGTTTCTCTAAATACTTCCTGCTCGCGACAGAGTACTCCGGTTTAACAACAGATCTGGAGCTGGGATAGGATGATTTGTCAAACTCCTCCCCAAAATACACGCTGTTGTAGATAGAGTGATTAAGAGAGGGGGCTTGTATTTTCGGGTGCTGAAAGATGGACTGATCGCGGTATTTGGTGGATACAACATCGTCCGGCGAGAACTTTACATTTTGATCTGAAAGTAACGAAACTTAGAAAAGATTGTTAAGAAGTGTTTAACTATATCAGCAAGTTAAAGTTATCCAAATTAGAACATATTTGTAATTATGGAGTATTAGGGGTCGTTCACATATTACGTAATAACTATTTGGTAAATGTTTGCCCCCTCCATAATCAGTTTTAAACATAGCTGTTGTGTTAAAATTACACTAACATAATCATTTAGAAACCCCCTACCTCCCCCACCGTGATTACGTAATATTTGAAGTTGTTAACGACACTCGGACTGCAGACACCTTACTAGGAAATAAACTATTTCTAATAATAATATTTCTGATAAAACTTACTTTCTGACGAATCCCAGCCGTTAGAGCGGTGAGGGTCCTCGTTTTCCTTAAATCTCAGGTAGAATGAGGTAGAGTCAGTCTCACTGGGCCCTCCATCACAGCACCTCTCACTCAGAGATGTATCACGTGACACATCATGCGACCAAGTTACTGGACACTGGGCTGACTGGTCATTTAACTGGTGTTGGGTCATCTCAGTTGCTGTGTTTTCAGTGAGAACCAGTGATTCGCCAGTACCAACACACATATCGTTAGTCTCCGTGGAGCTGGAGACACCCTGGTAATATTATGGTAATATTATGTGTGGGTTGATAAAATATCATAGTACTCTGGCCAAAAACAAAAGCACATTGTTTAGTTTAACCTGGTTATGAATGAAAATACATTTGGTTACTATAGATACCACTGATAAGTTTATTGTATATAACATTAGTCATTAGTAATGGGAACAATAATGTACATAAATTGAGGTCATAATCATGACAAAAAAGGGCGTTAGTAGGTTGAGTTAAAATATATCTTAATAAATCTAGCCGTGGTCCATATAATGTAACCGTGCTGGGTCTCTATCAAGGCTATAGATAATAATGTGAGTTGTCATTTAGTACGGCAGAATATCTTTGATTGATTATTAGGGTGTGGTTTAGTAAATAAAAAGGAACGAGGATTAACCTCTACTAATATCCTGCTGGATCCCACTTTACTTTACATATTAAATAAAAAATTATAGAAAATTGAGCAGATAGTAAGTGAGCACGTGAATGTACTCAAATGTAGTAATTGATTACAATGTAACTGCATGCTAACCTTGTCTATTTGCTGTTCCAGTATCTCCATCTGATTTCTCATTGTCTCTATACTCTTATCCAGACTTACTACTTCACTTTGAGGTTGGGTGGTCGTGTGTGCGTTCTTCATTAACAAAGACACCTGGACACAACCAATTAACATCATCAAGCAAGGGAACATATTGTGTGTATCCTCGAGTCATTATAACATCACAACACTAATCATTTAGCGTGCAGCTGCCTCTACTGGCTCTGCATCGTGCAGCTGCTTAAAATGCCGCGCGGGCACCGCGCGCGCATGTAATTACGGATAAAGTTACACTAAATGCTGACAAAACGTTATTTTCATAAAAAAATGTCAAAAATTTGATTACAAATTTCGTATTTGCCGCGGTAAGTTAGGTGGCATGCATCCTGACACACTAGTCACTAACTACTTCATTTTAATCGAATCGTGGATCAAAAAGACAGTGCTGAACCATACACACACCTCTTAAATCGCACTTTAACGGCAATAATTATTGAATGGCGCCTTCGGTCGACCGTCGACTTATCGACTATTAGACAATTTTACAAAACTATCCCAAGTATTCAATTAAAAAAGCTTGTGTCCAGGTATTCATTAACTGAAGTCTGTATAACTAGTACATAAAACGTAGAATGACAGAAAAGTGTGAACATAGTGAAAATAAAGTGTAAATTAATGATTCCGAAAATTAATGACTCTGATAGAAACAGGAAGGACTGAAAATGAATCAGAAAAACCGTCCATCATAAATATGTTCCAGTTAATAACTAACAAGTGGTAAGTAATAAGTACCTGTTGCTGTAGATGATCCAGTTGCCGTTTCTGCAAAGTCAACATTTTTAATGCTTTAGCGCTAATCGACGCAGACTCGCTCTGAGATGAAGCTGTTCTGCTGCTTCGCGCTGAAATTTTACCTATATTAATAAATTCAGATATTGGATTTAAATAGACAGAATTAAAATGAACACATGAACTATTGAGGCAATTAGCACAAAGCTAAATCATGAATGGCAAGATGTTGGCGATAATATTATGTGTGAGCCAGTTTTTCGGAGATATAAATCAATTTAAATGTCCCTCCATTCATTTGAAAGGGTAATCTAACACTTAAGGGGGCCGGGGGGGGGTCTTCATCAAAATTCTCTCGAAATCGACTTTATAGTTGTTTCTGATAGAGGGGAGTGATATCTATTAGCTGCTTTTGGTCCCATGGAAAAATATTGTTCCTAGCCGAAATCATCGCCGGTCTAAGGTCAGCGCTTATGTGTAATTGTATTGCGCGAGCGATTTTCAATCGCAAATTCTGAAAATCGAGTCTAAAAATCTATCTTCTCCCACATTTTTTGAGCAATCACCCTGAAACTTTCAGGATATGTTCTAGGGACCATTTAGAAGAGAATGATCATACAAAATTTTGAGATAGGCCTTTAAAAATTTTTTATTCAATTTTGAAAATCTTGGACCTCGTTTTTTTACGATTTTTTGAGGTCCAAGATTTTCAAAATTGAATAAAAAATTTTTAAAGGCCTATCTCAAAATTTTGTATGATCATTCTCTTCTAAATGGTCCCTAGAACATATCCTGAAAGTTTCAGGGTGATTGCTCAAAAAATGTGGGAGAAGATAGATTTTTAGACTCGATTTTCAGAATTTGCGATTGAAAATCGCTCGCGCAATACAATTACACATAAGCGCTGACCTTAGACCGGCGATAATTTCGGCTAGGAACAATATTTTTCCATGGGACCAAAAGCAGCTGATAGATATCACTCCCCTCTATCAGAAACAACTATAAAGTCGATTTCGAGAGAATTTTGATGAAGACCCCCCCCCGGCCCCCTTAAAAAGATATTATTGACGGCAAAGACGATAAAAAGTGAAGTACCAGGGATATTTTACCCTTTTATCATTTCGACAGAAATTTCACAATTTCGATATAAAATTGAAGAAGTTAGGGCTTTCTCCAATATTTAAACTAGAATTTGAACAGTAAATAAAATAAAACTAACAAGATTTGTCGATGGTATCTCTGATGCAAGTATCCTTCCTTCTCTCAGAAACGGAGCTACTAGCACTACTTTTCATAGAGCGTGTAGTGTTGTTACTCTCAGGATAGAGTTGCTTCTTAGCACTGCTCCTTCCACTTCGTTTAGAGCGTGAACTGTAGGAACAATTAGTCATTTTTACTGCACTTCTTTAGTGTCATTAAGTAATTACTTAGTCAATGTTCCTGCAATTCTTTAGTCCGATTACGTTATTACAAAAATTATGCAACCTTCAGAGTTGACAAATTTTTACAACCGTTACTGAAATTTAATACGAGTAACATTATGTAATAGAATAATACCAATTTAATACCAATTTATGACACAATCACCGTTTAATGTTACCGAAAAGGACAAATATGTTACTCAGAAATCACAGATAAAGATTATAAACTCGCCTGTTATTTGTTGAGTCACGAGAACTGACAGTGGAAGTTGAACACACAGATTTGTTAGCAGAAGAAAAACTGGACTTGTCAGGCGAGCGGTGGTTTGTGCGCTTGTTGGGGGACGCACGGCCCAGTGTACGGAATGCACTCTTCTCTTTAGACAGCTTTTCTCCCTTTTCTTTGGACAGCTTCTTGGAGCGACGAGAAGGAGAATAGTTAGGCGGGTAGAAGGCAGGTACATTATGTGGGTACATAGGTGGGTAGTGTGGGTAGGGGTACTGGTACCTAATGGGGTCTATATACGGGTTGTAATAGTAGGGGGATATAGGGCTGTGTATTCCAGGTGCACTGTAAGGATCTGATCCCTGTCTGGAATGCGCTGAGTACATATCAGACTCGCTCCTTCCTGTATAGTCGCCTCTCCCCGTGTAGTCACCCCTCCCCGCGTACATGTAGCGAGGGTCGAATGGAGCAGCACCAGGAGGGTAGTGGGTGGGAGAGAGCAGTGAGTTGGGCGGGTAGGTGGGGTCCGGGGGACTGTTCGCTTTATCTGTCAAACCATTCTCTCCTCCGTTATCTTCTGTAAAACCGTTATCTCCTCCTTCTGTATAACCGTTCTCTTCTTCCGTCTTATCAGCTGTCATCCCATTCTCTTTACCATCACATCCCACTCTTACATTTGCAACTCCATTACATATGTTGTTTAACTGTAGGCTGTGTAATATTGATTTGTTAAGATTATCATTAGCTTTAGTTAGTGTCGCACTGGAGGAGGGTCCAAGTATGGAAAGAGGAGAGAGGGAGCGGCGAGGGGCTGAGGGAGTTTTAGAGGGAGTAGCACTGGGAGCAGGTCTCGGTTCTAAATCATTGTGGGTACTGCCACGCCCAGATTCATCAGGATCCTCTTCTTCTCCTGGCTTATCCCTGAGATAAATCAGTCTTTTAGTATCTTTTACTATAATATAACAGCTATCGTGGTGTAATACTACATATTGACCCTGATCTAATTTTACCTCTTAAATATTCCAGAGCAGCTACGAGTTAAGTTAATTAATTAAACCAAACATCACAAAATAGATCTGAAATATTGTTACAAGACACCCAGAGCAATTCGTGAATCTACTCAGTCTACTGCACATCTAGAAAAGGAAATTGTTTCACTGGTTTGTTCCGATCAATAATTGGTAACAACTAGGGCCTGCAGTCGGGTAGAGATGTGAGGTAATTAGATTTTAACATTTAACGTGTGACCTGGTCAGGTAACTGTTAATAACGGTTTATATCACCAGGTAACTATTACCTCGTCTTATGTTACCCAGTGACTGAGTGACAGTTGGGGCCTGCATGGAGCTATTACACACTATCAATGGATATCGATCCTGGTGGGGAGGCGAACCTTATTTTTCTGACACGTGACTAATCAGCTTCCACCAATGACCAATCAAAACCCACAATAACTGTCCCGTGTGAAATGTTTATGGATAGTTGAACTTTGATGGAGTTGATCACTTCTGCTATTTTGATTATATTTATAGGCTACCTTTTTTGTAGAGTTCATCTTAACAGTTAGATAAAATACTATAGTTGGGTTAATACTGTCAAATTCTGACATTATTGGACCCTGTAGGCTCTGCGTGTCGTTCATTTAACACATTACCAGTCTTACCACACACTACGCACTGACTTCCCAGCCAGTGTTCTGATTGGTTGGTTCTTGTCACGTGGGATGAGTTCTATTTGGTCATTGAATGCAGTGCAGGCAGAATTGTGGGTTTTGCAACACGTTGAAATTAAGGCCACAGGGGGGGGGGGGGGGGGGGGGGTCGAGGCCTCAAAAAATGCAAAAAAACATTATGCTTTGAATCAATATATATTTTTGTGGTGGATACTTTGCCACCACTCATTTGTCTGTAGCTATTTTACTTTTTTTAATAAATGAGGTTAACCAATTCTCATTTAACCTCATTTTTTGATAAATCGATAATGGAGGGCAGAAATATTGATGCCATTACAACTGAAAACTACGATAAGCTTTGTTTTTATTGTTTTTGTGTTATTTCAGCAGTTAAACTTTGAAAAATATACAAATAAAGGCAAAATTCTCAAAAATCACATAACATAAAAAACAGTTTTTTGCCTCTCCTGAAAACCTCGAATTTTTGACTTCAAAATCTATCTTCTCCTAGAGTTTTTATCCATTTCACCTCAAATTTGGAACTTATGTTCCTGACATAAATTTAAAAGTTTGTTATGTAACGATTGTTGTAATTTTGCTCCTAACTCTTTTTATGAGGTTAACCATTTTAAATTTTGTAACCCGCACTCATGGTTAAACTCATATCTCAGCTTTGGAGCAAGATATCATAAATCGTTACATAAAAAAAACTCAAAATACCTTGAAGAACATTGTTGCCAAGTTACAAGGTTCTAAGTCATAAACTGAAAAAGAAGATAGATTTTGAACACGATTTCATTTAAAGTTTTCATTTACAATAGAATTACAGGTAAACCTCAAAATTCAACGCGCGATATCTTCAAATAGGAAACTTTGTTTTCCGTAAGGACAAAAGCATTTGAAAATTTAGATCGAGCTCTACAACATATCTCAAAATCTCAAAATCGACCTCGGACCCCCCCCCCCCCCCCTGTGGCCTTAATTAGGTAAATGGAGACTGTTGGAGAAGAACTCGCCCCATTTTAACAGAAGTGAGAAGTTACCCCACCAGAAGCGACCCCACCACTTTAACATGATTGACAGGGCCAGTTAAATTACTGCTTGCTAATGGTACAAATATACTGGTAAAAGTATCCACACACCCATAATTATCAGTACAATATCACTAGAGAAAACCTAACAAATTAGTAAGCAGATAATAATATTGTGAGGTTTGTCCACTTTACTACAGTGTTCTGATACCGTCCAAGGAAGTTACTGACTAGTAACTGGATACTAAGATACTCTAACCAATGCACAATCTGCACTCTTATCAGTATAGACCTCCCATTGTTATTCAGTGAAATGTTACGAGAAATCTATTCACCAGATATCTACTTAACAAGCCGGTTTTCGTGGTTGTCAAGGAAAAGGAAATTACCCAAGTATGTAATGAGTAATTCACTGACCATATAATAATTATATTATAATAAATCTCGCCAATAGTTGCAACGAGAAATTAACTTACCAGATGTTATGAGTAATAGTGTTGAGAGCAGAGGTGAACATTTTGTTAGCATTGCTATCAGAGGGCACATTCTCCAGGTAGAAAGTTGTTGTGTCTGATATCTGCGTATCCGGGACTACAACATATTTTGTACATCTGAAAATATTATTGGAGTTATTGATAATGATTAGAGGCTAGAGCAATTGTAGTAATACAGTCACTACGGTGAGTAAAGAATGACCCAGTACCAAATATATATAACGAAGAGAAACTATCAGATCGTATAAAGTTAAAGGTGGAGAAATTTAGACACGAATAATAACATGATCAGTGTTTTCTTTTGCTGTAGAGTGTAGATTTTAGTAGTTCATTTGGAAAACCAAAAATGAAATTATTGATTTTTTGTGATCGTGTAATTTCTACTTTTATAGAATTAATTCTGTGGTGATGATAACAATAGCGTCCCTATTCTTAGTGAAGAAAAATCAGTGCTGGTTTCAAAGTTTCAATTCATTTTCATGCGTGTTGAGAGAATTGCAGTTTGCTACAGAAACAAATTTACAGAGTTTTCACACGTGAAGATAGATGGAGCAGAGAGATGAAGTTGAGGAGGTGAAACTGCAGTCTGCAAGCACTCAAGCAGAAACTAGAATAATATAATATTCAGCTGAATCCTGAGGAGGAGCCGCGCGGATCAACCAATCGGAGCAGAGAAGCATAACACGTGACATAACCTGACCAATGAGCATTTCACCAAATATCCCAGTGAGCCAAAGTGCACGTGCGTGGCAAGTAGCCAATTAAGTAGCAGAGATATCGCACGTGGAGATCATGTGATGAGCACGTGCACACTGGTACATGACAGTGTAACATTCCTCGCCAAGTACTGCCAACTGTTAGCAGCTAAACATTACACCCCTCTGACAGTACATTACAGTGCGGGGTAAGGGTGGTTACTTAGGACATAGGGCTCGGGACAAATCAAATAAAACACTCCAGACTATCTACTCTAGATTATCTACCTGTCTTTTTAAAGAGGAATGTGAACCTTGTTGCCAGGAATGTGTGTAATGTAAATGTGTGAAATGACTCCTCCCTGCATGCTAGGAATCATGTGTTTTACATGTGCTGCTTGCTTTACAACAAACTTACTCTAACAATATCTACCAAGGGTCAGTTTCATCTCATTTTGGTGGTGGTTTCCTAGAGCTTTACATATTGTGGTAGAAGAATTAGAATCGGTAATTATCGAAATTAACTTTAAACATCACCATTACATTAACAGCTATACTGTAATTTGACCATTGCTATCTCAAAATTTAGTTTTCTAAACAACATCTATACTAGGTGTTAACAATTTTTAAATGTGCATCGTAAAGGGGGTATCAATATTTTAGTTCTTTAAAAACAGAGCGGGCTTCATAGATCTACTAGATCAAGCTAGATCAAGCTAGATCAATCTATATCATACTAAGTTGAATCACAGTACATTTCACCCTACAGTTTAAGTTGATATTCCATTATAGGTACTTTTACCTAAAAGAACAACTCTAGCGCAAGTTTATGTGTACTTTTTGAAAATTTTCAATTCACTTTATTTGTGTTAGCCGAAATTCGGTAATATTTTGACAATTATTGTACACTTTTCTCCAACCTCAAAAAAAAGGTAGACAAAATTAGACACTAAGTCTTATGAGAGCCTCACTCCTCCCTCAACCGTGACTTGAGTCAAAACAGAGCAGATGTGCAAATATCTGCACATAATCTCATGTCTGGTATTGGTTAGCTCTCAATATTTTCATAGAGTAGCGGGAGCAGGTCATATTAGTGACTGGCCAGGGCACTAAATAATAAATCGTTAGAGTAGCAAGACGTCGCCATGGCAACATTTAGGTGTAATGATTTTAATTATTGGTTTAAATTTACCAATACAAAATACACACCAAAGACAAGCTCCATGTAAGGCACTGGAAAGGGTATTTATAGAATACTAAGCACGGTTATTCTAGCAGTGACCTCAGGTGACTTTACAAATCATTTAAGTAAAGATTAGCAGTAAATTACGTTAGTTTAATGCTAGGTGCTAGGGAACAGAATGACATGTGCATATTGCATATAACAGGGCCATTAATTAGATTGCACAAGTTCCATATTTAATATGAGATCGGCATTACAGAGCAGTGTATGCTGAACTCAAAACACACATTGTTTCGCTAAAAAGCTGGTACTATTTTTATACAGTACGTCGTATCATCTGGTGCCGTTTTAACAGCAGGTCAAGTGTTTAATAACTAAACTATGATTTTAATTAATATTTAAAAACTTAAAACTAACGTCTAACTGTATAACTTACTTGACATGTCTGAAGGAAGGTAGCTGCTGATTTACTGAACATTCCCAAGTCAGAACTGAGCCACCAGACAAGACACAGAGTAAGAAGGGAGCTGGAGGTTGCGCTTCTCTGAAAATAGGGACAAAATAAGATTAGGGGTTGCGCTTCTCTGAAAATAGGGACAAAATAAGATTAGGGGTTGCAGTTGCCTCTTTCTGAATATGCAACTTTGACTGATAGTCTAATGTCACAAAACTTTGTTATTTTAAAACTAACTCTCAGATATAGTCATTTTCTTAACAAAAGTCTTAATGCGATAGCAAAACATTAAGATACATTGTAACAAATCTAAGTTCCCTAACTGTTCTAATATAAGCACGCCCTAGTGATTATATATTTAGATCTAATTTGATTTAGGCGGTGGAACAAGTTGGACGGATTCGTCAGAGCTAAAGACAAAAGAGCAAACTACTCTTACAAACCGAGATAATGCCAGGAGGAAGAATGAGAGTGAGAGTTAGCACGAGGAGAATGTTATGTTACCTGATAAGAGAAGTATTGAAGGTATAGTTGAGGAGGAGTTGCCAGATAGCAGGACCCAGTGGGTAAGAAGGATCAGAGTTGATGGGATGGGAGAGAGGAAGTGAGATCCACCCACCAACTAGGATGCTATCAGTCATGTTAGATTGATCACCAGAAAGAATCAGGACTCCTCGTCTTGCTCTGTCTAGTGTCAAATACCTGACATGTTTTGATTATATTTCACATACAGTATTTCACACATTTCACATATTTCACTCAATAAATTTCACATATTTAACATATTTTACTTTAACTGAAACTTGGCCACATTTTACTATTCTTTCATAGCAAATCAGTAGTTAAGATATTATGATAGTTCACTAACCCTGATTTGGTTACCCCAGCTAGGTCCCCACTGAGAGATCTAGTGATAGGGGTGGAGGCTAAAGGGAGGGGGGCGACAGGTTTCAATTCAAACCCTACTCCAGGGTAGACCATCTCACACGTCACTTTGAGAGGGGTACCCAGATCATCATCTGGCATTAGCGATATAATGCACCTCATTTTCAACAACTCTCCCACGTTACTACCGTTTTTCAACGTTTTTTCTAATTCCTGGGATATCGAGAACATGTTTATTTCTTGTGCAGAGAAATATGAACCGTCTAACCGTGAAACAGTGCAATCATATAGTGTGACCAAAATCAGTCAGGGGATTGAGGGAAAAGATGAGTGATTTGAGAAGCTTACATTGAAAGAATGAAGGTATTGGTCAGTGGTGTAGGTCATTGAGTCCTCCTCAGATAATATCTTGGTGGGCAAGATCATATCCCCTGGTATCAACATCGTAGGTACCTTCACTATTTTACCATCTGTGAAAAATAACTGTTTATCAAATATATTTCGTGTGACTTATTTAAATCATTGAGGACCTACAGAGACCAGAGACCAGTACGCTTTGGGCTAATATTTAATACAAAGTGCATATATATACTTAACTTGAAAAATGAGGAATCACAATCTTTTTTCTAATAACCTGATATAGTCTCCTTGCCATGGTCCATTCTGTCTACACAAACAGACACAGTTTGGTTTGTGATCTTGGGGGTTCCCAAAAGGAAGCAATCAAACCCAGCACGTTGTACTGAGCTCAGCTTAGCGGCACGCCTCAAAACATGCTCACTTATCACTATGCTACCAACACTGAAATATATATATGTTATTGTTTAAACATTTGTAAATATCAATGAACAATTAATGTTATTTGGATGATCTTCTGGTATGACATTATTATGAGATTTAATGCAATGTGATTATTATATTCACCATTTTGGAGATAAGCTGACTTTAGCCACTTTCCCAGTTGGTTGGGAGCTCCTGAAATTTTGATATGCAAATTATTTAAAACTTAAACTGAGGTCTAATTAGCTGGAAAAGGAGACAAAAAGCTAACATAAAAACCATTTTACTTAATAATATTAACTCTGAATAATTCAGACATCAGTCATGTCAGTGGTAACTTACCATAGGTGTATCCTTGAGGAGGGGAAATCAGAGACCCCCATATCCTAAAAAGTTAGTTTGTCATTTTACTTCAAGATTGCTCTAAACAGAATTGAAGACAATTGGTTAAGACCCTTATACTAGTAAGGTACATACAAATTCACAGAAGGAGGCCAAGAGTTTAGAACTATTTAAGTAAATTAATTATCACCAGCAAAATGTGTGACAGTTTGAGTTTTAAATGCAGAACAAATAATAAAGTTCAGGTATACAAATTGCTAATCAGTTAAATTAAATACTAGATATACAATCGTCCTAAACGCTACATCAATTCACGTCTGAATATAAAATACAAATATATACATATTACTAAAGATTAAAGAAAGGCTGACAGTGCAATTTTTATAATTCATATTACGTCGTCCATAATAAACTGTTTAATGCTATGGTCTAAATTTACTGTCTTACATATTATTATTATATTATAACGATTCGATTGCGTCACAGTTCAAATTTTAAAGTAACTTTTAAATCAAATAATTTTACAAATCTTAATCGATATGGAATTCAAGTTAGTGAGAACAAGGTTTGGACAGAATCCATATCATCGCAACTTGATAATAAGTAGAAACAGAGCTTAAATTGAGTTGATAAATTCAAATACACAGCACTAAAATTATCATTGGTTAATATGGTTAACTGAGTCAAATGTAACATGAAAATAATTCCCTAATCTTGTCAATAGAACATGATCATGATTTAACAATTACCCGAAGGCCTCAAAGAGTCTGTTATTTGTGAGTCCTCTTAAAAGAGTTTTAAAGTTTTTAATATGTGTGAATACGTTGGTGTTTGACAAGGTTATACTGTCAGAAGAAGGATGTGAACACTCTTTTCACTTGAAAGGTTTCTCTCCAGTGTGAATACGCTGGTGTCTTCTGAGATGACATTTTTTAGAGAAATATGAGGAGCATTCGCTACACTTGAACGGTTTCTCTACAGTGTGGATACGCTGATGTGTTGTGAGATTAGATTTCTGAGAGAAAGATGAGGAGCATTCATTACACTTGAAAGGTTTCTCTCCAGTGTGGATACGCTGATGTTTTGTGAGATTAGATTTCTGAGTGAAAGATGAGGAGCAATCATTACACCTGTGAAGTTTCTCTCCAGTGTGAATACGCTGATGTTTTGTGAGATTAGATTTCTGAGAGAAAGATGAGGAGCAATCATTACACTTGAAAGGTTTCTCTCCAGTGTGAATACGCTGGTGTGCTCTGAGAGTAGGTTTGTTAGAGAATGATAAGGAGCAATCATTCCACTTGAGAGATTTTTCTTCTGATATTGGATTCATCAACTTTCCTGACAATTTCGTGGAATTTCTTAGCACATTGGAATCCAAATTACATACACTGCTAATATCTTCATGATGTTCTCTGATATGATGACAAAAGTACTCCTCATACAGAAAATGAGCTTCACATTTCGGACAAAGAAACCCATGGGATTTACCTTCTAACTCCTCCTGCTCAGTTTTAATCTCCTTTTTTATTACAGTTGCATTGTTAGGTTTGTAATTCATGATAGTGTCGCCTACCACTGCAACTGGGGATATTTTCCTCTTCTTTGACATAGCCAATCCTACTGCTAATATAATGAATTCGATTAAGATCAATTAATAAGTTGTGAGGTAAGTCTTATAATATATATAAAATGTTTAATAGCTTTACATTTTAATCAATAAATTAATTACTACCAACACAACAACTAATGACAGTTCGAATTTTAAATACATAATGATTAATTGCGCAGGTTTACAAATTGTTAAATTAGATTATATACATGCACAACTGTTCTTAACTTTACATCTGTTTACAGATCTGAATATAAAATATAATTTATCAAATAAATCATGACAGTGCAATTTTCATAATTTACATTATGCATGCGTCAATAATCAACTGTGTATTGCTAAGGTCTGAACTTACATATTATTATTTAATAGGCTTGAGTTTGTGCTCCAAAAGTGGTAAATCGGGTTCTAGTAAAGCTATTACAGGCAACTGGCTCCTTTTGCCAACTGCTTTTGGTTTAAGCGCTGACTCACATTTGGAGCTGGAACGAGTATAATTGTAATATGATACGAGGTCAGCATGCTAAATAATCTCGTTTATCCTAACAATATGTAGAGTTTATGGTTTAGGCGCACCGCACCGCTAGTTTTTCCATTTTCCGCGCGAACCTAACAAGTTTATTATCAGATGTCTATATATATTTATTATGATATCATTATTCATTGTGATGCAGGCAATAAAATTTAGATTCTGTTTTACTTGTGTTGCCGTTTAAACTTAAAAAGTTAAAAAAGAAAACTATATACTCATTACATTAAATGTGCTGCAATTGGCAGAACACAAATGGTTCATTCCAAGTCAAATAACAAATTCTGCTCTGAATATCTAAGCAATCATTTAGGTGCCATGTTAAACACATGTTGGCATACATGGTGAAACTTCCATCCATGGACCAGGTCCGCACTGGGTTCGCATCCGGAGTTAAAATGGTCCCAGTAACATATTTATTGCTGGAGTTAAATTTGGGACTTTATTGGACAGAGAATTAGAACAATTTTTTCAGTTTTCCGACATAGTCACAAGGCCTAGTTGGTGGAGGCGAAGATTGCATGGCATGGATTCTCGTTTAAAGATATAGATTCCACGATGTATTTGATAAATCAAATCTCAAATTTGAGAACTTGTTTGAGTACACAAGACACAATTACATACCTCTCTTTCTGTTAAAACAGACGCTGCTAACTTGTTTTAAGTCTGAGAAAGCCATACATCTATTGTCCTGTTACAGATTTTAAGACATCGCATTTTATTCCAGCAACCAGGAATTTAACCATTAAAGTTTTGCCACCTTTCAGCACCTTTTAAAATTGTTTGGCAGTTTGGTGGTCTGAGATTTTTTGGTGCTAAGTTGGCTGTTCCGGTCATCAACAATCCTCTTTAAGGCATTTGGGCCTAATTTATGGAGTCTAAATCATAACAATTTAAGTTAAAAGCCTTTTTCGAGTTAAATTATCATGGTAGTTCAAGAAATGTTATTTTCTTTTTTTTTACAACTTTTAAAACTTTTAGCTGAATTTGGACTCAACATGAATAATCTGGCCGAAGACACTTATTATAAGAGATCTAAGAATACTTTTCTTTTATGAGAAAAAAATTTTAAACCAGTATTATCTCGTATTTTATAAGCCACTTAATCCCTCATTCATTAATTATTATGACGAGACCTTTTCAGGTCATAGCTTGACATGACGATTCCGTTTCACAAAACTGAGGGTGCAATTAAACCGGCCTGGGCATACAATTTTCCATTCCAATATACATACCAGATACCTCTGCATCATCAACACATATTCATTGTTAGTCTCATTACCAGACACATGTTTGTCATTTGCCAATTCAAACTATGATAATTCTTCAAGATCCATTTCACTCGTTTTTGTGCACAGATACGGGTAAGCCTTGAACAGAGCGAAAGATAGAAATGAGTTTTTGTTGATAGTTAGAGAAATTGACCGTTCACACAAGAACAGAGTCAGTTACCGACTCAGGACTGATATGAGGAAGTATTCTTTATTTCTAATATATTGTTTTGTATATTCAATTTGCATATTTGTATTCCTTTTCAAATTATATATTAAACCTATATGCATGGTTTTTCGGAGACCTGTATTTTCCCGACTTTTAGGCTAGGATTTGTCAAAAAATGTTGATTTGTGTACAATTCGATTCACTTTCCAATTGAACGTTTAGTCTTAATATAATAGTTAAAAATTTTCTTTTGTATTAGCTCACGCTGGGTCAGTTCGTTAATTTAATGGAGAACTGTCGCACCTAGCTTTTTAGTTTATTGCTTGCTTCTCTCACGGATGAAGCTTGAAAAAAGCGCTGTGCACAGAAATTGGCGTGCCAGTCAATAATTTGAAAATGATAATCACAAATCAACCAAACTCATTCATCATTACTTAACTGTTAAAATTAAAAATATGACTGATTCATGATTGATGATTTAAGTTTTGATTTAACTCAAAGCAAACAAAGCAAAAACAATTATTAATAAAATTATGATTTTATAATATACTAAAAAACCCGTGGTCAGAGGGAGGAAGCTAATAGTATTTTATTTCTTTGGTCATCGGTATGCGGTAGTCAGTTTTTATCGCATCAAAAAATATCCGTCAGTACAACCGAAGATACAGCCGATTAAAATGTAGCTAGCACTGAACACAACGTAATTACTTGTCATACGTTGTATATACGTTGTATACTAAATCGCTCGCCCAAATTTTAAGAAAATTCAAGAAAACAACAAATTTTTTTCAAGAAAACAACAAATTTTTATTTAAATCAATTATAGCAACAATTTGAAAAACTTTAAAGCTCTTCTATTACCATGGAATATACTACGGGTATGGTGACTTGGGCTATTGAGTTGTTAAGTAGATTAAGATTAGTAAACCTGCACTTGCATTGTATATTTTATAAAAACTAGAAATTAGGCTTCACGGTAAAATGGAGAAGCAGGCTGATCTTGGAGAGAGCAGACCGTAAAGTTTACGCACCCACCAGGGCTACCTACCTACCCCAGTTGTTCTTTTTGGTTTATCAGCTTGTATTGTTATATTTATGGACCCCAAGTCACCACATTAAGAAGGAGTATGTAAAAAAAAAATAATAAGTTAAGTTATTATCATCATATCTGTTTAAAACAGTAAAAGTCAAGTTGAGGATTGACTTTCCTAGTTAATTTAAAGGTTCAAACGTTTGGGAATATAATAATGTTGGTATTTGTGTCTGCTGCAGCAATAATATCGAAATATCATTTGTATAGAAAATTTTCGCCACTTCAGTAGATATTATTGGGTCGGCAATTTGGTGAATGAGTGATGAAATGGTTTGGTCTGTGACTGAGTGAGGGGCGATGTGAAAGTTGTGGTAAGTCCAGGTGTTATTATTGTTGATGGATTGGGATCCCAGGATGATACTTTTACAGCGTAATTTAACCAAAGATACAGAAGTAGTGAGGATTTCCCCATTCTCATTTAGAATCCGTTTATGTATGCTATTCCACAATTTGGAGGCTATATAAAGAAAAGTGTTGGTTTTTCTTGGGAGGATTATGAAATTGCTTGTATCACGTTTTGATGAGTCTATAGTACAGTACAACGAGTATGGAGTGCGAAATTTCATAATTTGAAATATCTCAGATATACAGTGGTATTTGTACAAGTTTTGAACAGTAAGCAATTTTAGTCGATTAAAAATGGGCTTGGTGTCCTCTTTTTCGAAAAAAGCAGCTCCAAACCTCTGTTTTGTATAAGGTCTGGCTCGTGCACAAGTGGCATGTTTGTCGAGGTATGCATTTAGGTCTCCAAAAAGGATTCTTATACAACGTTTCTGAGTTATGAACAGCTTATCGTTTGGTTGGTCTTTGAGGGCTGAGCCCCAAACACTTATTCCGTAAGCAAGATGTGATTCCAATAATGCAGAGTATATTTTTTGGTAGTGTTCCCCTGGAACTGAATGTTTAATCCTGTTAAGTGCTCCTGTAGTGGATCTAATTTTTTTTCTTAGATATTCTATATGTGGGCCCCAGCTAAGTTTTTCATCAATTACTACACCAAGAAATTTGGTGTTGCTAACCTTGACAATTTTGTGTCCATTTATAAATATTCCTTGTGATTTGTCATATTCATTGGCATATGGCCTAACCCTGGCGCAGGTTTCATCAGATTCGTATGCAGGTAGAAAATGTATGTAGCAGCATTTAGACATATTTATATGTAAGAGATTACTTCTCATGAATTTGCATACGAAATCAAGAACTTTATTGGCCTTCAAGTATGTTGCTTCTTTGGACGGTCCAGTGATAAATATATTTGTGTCATCAGCATAGAGCACAAATTTGCATTCATCGCCTTTGTAAAAAGGCCCTTTGGGCATGAAAGTGATCGGAATCGGTGTATTTTTGGACACTGATTCCGAATCACCCCCCATGACGTTGTCATACGTTGTCATACGTTGTATGATCCGCCGCGCACGAAGTGCGCGGCTCCCCCTGTATAGTGAAACGACCGTGGGGGTCGCAACGTGATACAACCATGACGTAGGGTTAAAATGCTTCCCTGGAGAGTTATGGGCAAAAAAACTTTTGGTCACGTGACAGGCTAGTAAAATACGAATTCGGTTGTTTAGGGCTCGTCTTAGGTTTAGGGTTGTGGTAAGGGTTATGGTTAGCTTCGGTGTTCGGGGTTATGGTTAGGGTTAGGGTTGGGATAAGGGTTTATGTAAAACCGTTTTGTACGGCTGCAAAACCATAAAAACCAAAGTCACGTGAAATTTTTGGGCGAGCGAATTAGTAAAAGCCCCCTGTTTCACTATAGTGAAACGACCGTGGGGGTCGCAACGTGATACAAGTAATTACCATAAAACTGATCAAAATGCCGTTAAAACAATCTTTGCGTACAAAAACCGGCCGTTACCATGGTTATTATGCAACTACCTATTTCTTATCTATTTGCACGTGGGCGGTCGTACATACATACAATACGAATTTTTTGAA